ATCGGCGCGCTACCGCCGGGAACGTGAGGAGGAGGAGGCGCGACGAAGAGGGAAGGCGCGGGAGAGCGATATGAACGGGAGGGAGGTGCGCTACGGAGCGGAATTGAGTATCCGCGTGACTAAAGTGAAGAAAACCGCGAATATGCTAAGAGTCACTGTAAAGAAACGAGAAAATAAAAAAAAGGAGAATTTGTCAGAATCCCAACCACTAGACCATTGGGATAAAAGGGCTTGTTTGTGTAGCGGCTAAGTGCGCCCATAACCCCCCAGGCCAACGTGTCTGTAACCCTTCCCTAGGATCAATCGGGGATCACCAGTGGACCTCTGACACCCCCCCGCACTGGGATGCCCGAGGTGCACACACTGGGATTCGAACCCGAGACCTTCGCTCTGATACCATGTCAGAATCCCAACCACTATACCATTGGGATAAAAGGGCTTGTTTTTGTAGCGGGTAAGTGCGCCCATAACCCCCCAGGCCAACGTGCCTGTAACCCTTCCCTATGATCAATCGGGGATCACCAGTGGACCTCTGACAGAATTGTCTAGCTAAGTAGCGCGGAAATGGCCTAAGGGCCAGAAACTTTCTAAGAGATGCGGATAAAACGGAAACGCCTAAGACTAGGCTCTGAATACCATGTTAAAGAAAGAGAAGCCATGGATGGCGAGAGGTTTTGGTGAGGTAGAAAAAGTACGACTAGGAGGAGAATGTCGAGATACAAAAGAGAGAGGGTTGGAAACCCTAATTGAACCTAGGGTGTGTTCGGTTTGTACTAACGATTATGAAATGAACCTAAAATGAACCTGAGTGCGTAACTCTCTCTAAGCCCAGAGAAATAACAATATAAGAACACCAAAATAAAGGCCAGAGCGAGCTCTAGCCTACTCCAACGAAGCTGGACCTACGGTCGGGTTACTGGCAGGTCAAGATGGCGGACAAATCGATACACAAAACGGCGTTCCGTACGAGATATGGCTCCTACGAATACTTGGTGATGTCGTTCGGACTCTACAACGCACCAGCGACGTTCCAGGCGGAGATGAACCACATCCTACGGCCCCTGCGGGATGAGTGCATAGTAGTGTAACTGGACGATATCCTCATCTACTCCAAGAACATGAAGGAGCACATGGAGCATCTGCAGAAGGTGTTCGAGATCTTGCGGAAAAATAATTTCTACGTGAAGCTGTCAAAGAGCGACTTCGCACTGAAGAAGGTGCAGTTTCTCGGGCACATGGTGAGTGCCGAGGGTGTACAGGTGGACCCGCGGAAAATCGAAGCCGTTAAGAAGTAGAAAATTCTGGAGAACGTGAAGGAGTTGCAGCAGTTCCTCGGCTTCACCAACTATTACAACAGGCTCATGCCACAGTACGCTAAGGTAGCAGCGCCACTAACCGACCTATTGAAAAAGGATACGCCCTTCAAATGGGATACTTCTCATCAGCAAGCCATGGAACAGCTACAGACAGCACTGACCACAGCGCCAGTACTCATCCTACCGGACCCAGACAAGGACTACGTAGTTGAAGCAGACGCTAGTGACCAGGCAGTCGGAGCAGTACTGATGCAGGATCGCGGAAAAGGGTTACAGCCTATTGCCTACCTCAGTAAGAAGCTACACGGAGCAGAACTGAACTACCCCATTCACGACAAGGAAGCCTTAGCCATAGTCGTAGTCTTCAAGGCGTGGAGGTGTTACCTAGAGGGAGCCAAGACCACAGTATACACCGACCACTGCAGCCTCAAATACCTGAAGTCGCAGCCGACGCTCTTACGGCGACAGGTGCGGTGGGTGGATTTCTTGGAGACCCACTTCCACTATGACATCATCTACAAGCCCGGGCTACACAACAAAGCTGACGCGTTGAGCCGGCCAGGTCATGTAGCAGGCATCCAGCTCGACAAGATGAACCCTCTCCTCAAGGGTCTATTCCAACATGGGTACTCCGTGGACGCAAAAATAGCAACGACAGAGAAATAGAAGTTGTTACAGTGGGGGAAAGACTTAGCGGTAAGGGAGGGTTGAGGAAAGATTTGGGTACCGAGTTACGCCCCGCTACGGCAGATCCTACTGGAGGAATTTCACGACGTTCCATACGCGGGACATTTCGGGAGCAACAAGACGTTAGCGGGAATAGCAAAGTATTACTACTGGCCCCGGATGGCAGCAGACGTGCAGCAGTTCGTCACCTCTTGTGACACATGCCAGCGAATGAAGAGTAGCAAGTAGAAAAAGGCAGGGTTACTTCAGCCTCTACCCGTACCGGAGCAGCCATGGCAGATCGTTAGCCTCGACTTCATCACGGGACTTCCCTCGACCTCATGGGGACATGATTCCATCCTCGTAGTGATCAATAAGTTCTCCAAAATGGGTCACTTCATACCGACCAACGCCACAGCTACAGCTCAAGCAACTTCTCGACTTTTCTTCGACCGCATCATCACCATCCATGGCATCCCCGCGACACTCATCTCAGTCAGAGATCCCAAATTCACTAGTAAGTTCTGGAAGGAGCTCATGGGACTGGTGGGGACTAAACTTGCGATGTCTTCAGCATACCATCCCCAGACTGACGGACAGACAGAGCGACTCAATCAGGTGGTTGAACAGTTACTGCGCACAGCTTGCAAAGACGACATCAGCCACTGGGACACACAGTTACCAACCCTAGAGTTCGCTTACAACAACGCCTCGTATGCAGCCACAGGGAAAACTCATTTCTTCCTGTGTTACGGACGGGAACCACTTACACCACAGCAGCCAACCATACCAGCACACGTCCAAGCCACACACGACTTCGTCACCGCCATGCAGCAGCTATGAAAGAAGACTCAGCGGCGTCTCACCACGATGAAGAACTCCCAGAAGCAGTATGCCGATCGTCAGCGACGAGATCACTCCGTAGCAGTCGGAGATCAAGTGCATCTTGACACACGCAACTTGAACATGTCTCACCTTCCATCCAAACTCCGTCCTCGCTTCTGTGGTCCATTTCTTGTGGAGGCACAGGTGACACCAGTTACATTCTGTTTGCGCTTACCAGATACGTGAAAGCTTCACAACACTTTCCATGTTCAGCTACTGAAGCCCTACAAGGACCCCAACCAACAGTTCCAGGGACGGCAGCTACCGCCACCTCCACCTGTACTCGTACAGGACAAACCAGAGTACGAAAACAAGCGCGTTCTCACTCATCAACGCCGCGGCGGCAAGACCCTCGAGTTCCTGATACGCTGGAAGGGATACGACCCCACGGAGGACAGTTGGGTCGCAGAAGCTGATATGGGCAATGCACACCGTGCTCTCAAGGTCTATCTTGTCAAGCAGGGTTTATCTCACGCCACCCAGCTTTGAGGGGGGGACGTGCGAGAGTACGACGGCTTATGCCAGCCATGCATGCTTGCTTTTACTTTGTTACGCTATTACTAGTTTAGGTCTATTTTATGCCTGCATGAATTGCTTGATTTCCTAGGCTAGGTGCTTTCCTATATTTTATTATAGTTATAGCACCGAGCTAGGTTGCGTACACCGAATTCTGGGCTATTCGGTTGCCACCGAATTGCCTTCTACCGAATTCGGGAAGGGTCTGTTCGGGACGCTTTGCGACCCTCAGAACCTGCGCGTAACACCTGGTTGCTGCCCCTTGTGTCGAGCCTATATATAGCCTCGTGTTGTACCCAGGTGATCATTCTATTCAAATCATCTTTTCTGAGCTCGATCCTAGATCCTCACATCCAGCTTTGCCGAATTCCGTCTGCACAGCGGTAACAAGAGTGCAATCAGAATTGCGAACAAACCTGGCTTCGTTAACCGCACCAAGCACATCGCGCGGCGGTACTTCTTCGTCAAGGACGAAGTTGAGAAAGGCAAGGTTGGCCTGACCTACTGCCCGGCGGGTGACATGGCAGCTGTTTTCCTCACAAAGAAACTGTCGCGTCAGCAGTATCATCACTGCTCCGAACTCAGCGGAGTAGTCAAGCGGGTCAAGACCTGCTACGGCCAGCAGTGAAGGGGGGTGTTACGAATAGTGAAAAATGAATGAACTACTGTGCACTCCTTACCGCAGCAATCGAAGCACGCACTACCAAGGATGGAGACGAAAGGACGGAAGTGACGCGAAGGGTCGAATGGTTACGAAAGAATCTGGACCGTCGGGTAGACAGCATCAGGCAGCAGCAGTGGCGAGGATTCTGCCCGAACGGTTTTGTAACCAACTGGAGTCGCACAGTTGAATTTCGCTGTAATAACGGAATGTACGCCTTAGAGTACGTGGCTAGCTAGGTCGATTCATATTCCTTCCTGTACTCTTATTTATACCTTTTTGCGCATGTTTTAATTCCTCTCAAGCATTTTACATTCACTCTGCTATTGAGGTCCATGGCCCACTACCACCAATAAGTAGTATGCGAACCTTCCTGAGACGATCAAGACCTGATCGCAGCATAAAATAGCCCTATGAAATTACATCACTAGGGCTATTCTATCTTATTAAGCCGTTGCCCAATTTTACAGGCCCTTTAACTTCTCATTGAGTCTGCCTATTGCTGTTTAAGTTTACATGTTTATACACGTTTCTATTTCAAAGGGAGCTGTGCTCTGTAGGGAATCACGCAATGGCGCGTTTCCAACTTTCCGTTTTCTGCTTCGAGTCGAGACGCATTCCGTCGACAAAGACGGATTTCCTCGACGAGAAAAAGGGGCGAGGGGGGAGCATGTGGGGTCAACGCCAGCTCGAGCGGGGACCACCTCGTGTCACTCCGAGCTGGCGGGGCTCGTTTCGGGCGGGCGGGGTGGTTGGCTTGGCTCGCGCCCCTCGCGTGCCCCGCTACGCTTCCGCGAGCACGCGGAAGCGATCCCGCATTCGCCCGCGTTTTACTGTAGCCAGGCGTAAACCTTTGAAATCCCGCGAGGGAAACCCCGCAGGGGCGAAGTGGGCTGATCGAACCCCCAACAAATCTCCAGGAATGTAGTCTTCAAGCAGTCGTGCAGTCCTCTCCCATGGCGCCTACTCCAAGTTTAATCTCTCATGCTTTCCGCCTGTGTTTCTCCTCCAAGATCGCGTTCGTCCTTCGCCTCGTCCTCGGATGCGCTGCATTTGCGCTCGTAGTCTTTACGTACATCTGCTACTGGACCATGTTTGCCACCGGCCTCTCGCCGCAGGCGGAGGAGTTCCGCGACACGTGGGACTCGTGCGTGACGCAGCGCGCGGGACATCTATTCAAGCTAAACATGCTGTCGGATCTGCATTCGCAGAAGTGCACGGATCTGGTAGAAGCCGCCGTCGCCAAAGGGGAGGCATTGATGGCGCGCGGGCGGGACTTGCGTGAACGCGGGGAGGCGGAGCACCAGGTTGCTGACGGGTGCACGGTGACGTACGACGCGAGGGCGGATCCGTGGGATAACCATCCGCTGCCTCCTAACAGGTTCTCCCAGTCGGGATCATGCCTGCTGGAGTGGGTAATCTACTCGTCTGAATGCGGGGTAAACATGGTGCGCCTCGCGGATTTCGCGCACATGGCGGGGATCAGCTTCTCCATAATCGGAAGCCGCCAGCCGTGGACGGGCCAAGGCGGCCGCCTGCGCGCCATCCGCGACTTCCTCGCGGCGCTGCCGCGCGATCGCGTCGTGATCACCACCGACGCCGACGACGTCTTTCTCATGCCGCACCCCAGATGCCGCCCGCAAAACTTCCTCGACGCCTTCTTCGCGCTCAACGCGCCCGTAGTTTTCGGCGCGGAGATATTCTGCTGGCCGGATTGGAAGAAGCTAGAGCCGTACTTTCCTCATAAAAGAGATTCGTCTGTGAATCGGTTTCTTAATGCGGGAGCTTATGGCGGGTACGCGTGGGCGGTGGCGGAGATCATCGATCTGATCTACGTGCGCGACTGCATGCAGGACCAGCGCGGGTTCATTCTCGCGTTCCTCGCGCAGCAGTACCTCTTCCGCGACATGCCGCGCGCGCCCAACCCCGACCCCTCCGCCGTGCGCGCCGCGTGGGAATCGCCGAGCGACGTGGCGGAGGCGGTGCGCGCGCAGGCGGAGGCGGCGGAGTCGGCGAGCAGAGCGGCGTGGCGGAACAACCGCACGGTGCAGTTCGACTCCGCCATGTCGCCGTTCCACCGCCTGCCCGCCAAGCCTAAGCAGCGCGTCATGGACGAAGCGCGGCGCGCCGGGCACAGGGGCGCGGCGGCGGTGATGGCGGCGCCGTTCATGAAGCTGGACCACTACAGCTCGCTGTTCATGCACCTGGGGGGTCTCAACTGGGACAACTTCACGATTCTGGGTACAGGGGAGCAGGCGCTGGTGCGACAGGTTAATTCGGGGGGGGAGGCATGCATCTTGCACCAGCAGGGGAATAAGCTCACCAATATCTCCATGCCTTATATAATGAAGGAGACCGGTTTGGAGGAGCTGAGAGAGGCGCGAGGGTATGTTTCCTGAGAGAGTGAGGCGCAGGTGAGCAGCTCGACTGTCCTGGTCATCGTTTTCTGTTGGCTGCGGTTTTCTGTTTCCTGCTGTTGCTGTTGCTTGTGCAGCCAACACGCCCTCATCAGCTGCAGATCGTGTTGGCTGCTGTCTCTGCAGCACTTCACTGTGCGTTATCTCGCTATCTCCCAGGTTGGGTTCTCCTAGAAGTCACCCAATCTGGCTCCTACCTTTTGCAAGTGGAGCAACGGAAAGGCAGGTAGAGCCCAAGAAAACCGGCAGTGGCGGGTTTTGGAAGTGGGTGTGACTGCCAGAGTGTTAGGAGAGATGCGGACCAGGACAGTCGAGCTGCTCGCTCACGCTTCCATTTCATCGTTAGTGTGTAGCTGATCTGATTGTGGAACTTCATGATACTTATTAGAAGGGAGGAGGTGTAGGGTTAGGAATGACCACTGACCTGTTTCAGCTCGTGTGTCTGGCTTGTTGCATCTTCTTGTGTGGCAGGGTACTAGCTGAATCTAGCTGTGTTGAGGTCTGTTGTAGCAGAGAAGGGGATGGGGGGAAGCAGGGAAGGGGATGGGGGGAAGCAGGGAAGGGGATGGGGGAAAGCAGGGAAGGGGATGGGGGGAAGCAGGGAAGGGGATGGGGGAAAGCACAGAAGGGGATGGGGGGGAAGCAGAGAAGAGGATGGGGGAAAGCAGAGAAGGGGATGGGGGGTAGCAGGGAAGGGGATGGGGGGAAGCAGGGAAGGGGATGGGGGGAAGCAGGGAAGGGGATGGGGGAAAGTACATAAGGGGATGGGGGGAAGCAGAGAAGAGGATGGGGGAAAGCAGAGAAGGGGATGGGGGGAAGCAGGGAAGGGGATGGGGGGAAGCAGGGAAGGGGATGGGGGAAAGCAGAGAAGGGGATGGGGGGAAGCAGAGAAGAGTATGGGGGGAAGCAGAGAAGGGGATGGGGGAAAGCAGGGAAGGGGATGGGGGGGAAGCAGAGAAGGGGATGGGGGGAAGCAGGGAAGGGGATGGGGGGAAGCAGAGAAGGGAATGGGGGGAAGCAGAGAAGGGGATGGGGGGAAGCAGGGAATGGGATGTGGGGAAGCAGAGAAGGGGATGGGGGAAAGCAGAGAAGGGGATGGGGGGAAGCAGGGAAAGGGATGGGGGGAAGCAGGGAAGGGGATGGGGGGAAGCAGGGAAGGGGATGGGGGAAAGAAGAGAAGGGGATGGGGGGAAGCAGAGAAGGGGATGGGGGAAAGCAGAGAAGGGGATGGGGGGAAGCAGTGAAGGGGATGGGGGGAAGCAGGGAAGGGGATGGGGGGAAGCAGGGAAGGGGATGGGGGAAAGCAGGGAAGAGGATGGGGGAAAGCAGGGAAGGGGATGGGGGGAAGCAGGGAAGGGGATGGGGGGAAGCAGGGAAGAGGATGGGGGAAAGCAGGGAAGGAGATGGGGGGAAGCAGGGAAGGGGATGGGGGGAAGCAGGGAAGGGGATGGGGGGAAGCAGAGAAGGGGATGGGGGGAAGCAGGGAAGGGTATGGGGGGAAGCAGGGAAGGGGATGGGGGGAAGCAGGGAAGGGGATGGGGTGAAGCAGGGAAGGGGATGGGGGGAAGCAGGGAAGGGGATCGGGGGAAGCAGGAAAGGGGATGGGGGGAAGCATAAAAGGGGATGGGGGAAAGAAGAGAAGGGGATGGGGGGAAGCAGAGAAGGGGATGGGGGAAAGCAGAGAAGTGGATGGGGGGAAGCAGTGAAGGGGATGGGGGGAAGCAGGGAAGGGGATGGGGGGTAGCAGGGAAGGGGATGGGGGAAAGCAGAGAAGGGGATGGGGGGAAGCAGAGAAGAGGATGGGGGGAAGCAGGGAAGGGGATGGGGGAAAGCAGAGAAGGGGATGGTGGGAAGCAGGGAAGGGGATGGGGGAAAGCACAGAAGGGGATGGGGGGGAAGCAGAGAAGAGGATGGGGGAAAGCAGAGAAGGGGATGGGGGGTAGCAGGGAAGGGGATGGGGGGAAGCAGGGAAGGGGATGGGGGGAAGCAGGGAAGGGGATGGGGGAAAGTACATAAGGGGATGGGGGGAAGCAGAGAAGAGGATGGGGGAAAGCAGAGAAGGGGATGGGGGGAAGCAGGGAAGGGGATGGGGGGAAGCAGGGAAGGGGATGGGGGAAAGCAGAGAAGGGGATGGGGGGAAGCAGAGAAGAGTATGGGGGGAAGCAGAGAAGGGGATGGGGGAAAGCAGGGAAGGGGATGGGGGGGAAGCAGAGAAGGGGATGGGGGGAAGCAGGGAAGGGGATGGGGGGAAGCAGAGAAGGGAATGGGGGGAAGCAGAGAAGGGGATGGGGGGAAGCAGGGAATGGGATGTGGGGAAGCAGAGAAGGGGATGGGGGAAAGCAGAGAAGGGGATGGGGGGAAGCAGGGAAAGGGATGGGGGGAAGCAGGGAAGGGGATGGGGGGAAGCAGGGAAGGGGATGGGGGAAAGAAGAGAAGGGGATGGGGGGAAGCAGAGAAGGGGATGGGGGAAAGCAGAGAAGGGGATGGGGGGAAGCAGTGAAGGGGATGGGGGAAGCAGGGAAGGGGATGGGGGGAAGCAGGGAAGGGGATGGGGGGAAGCAGGGAAGGGGATGGGAGGAAGCAGAGAAGGGGATGGGGGGAAGCAGGGAAGGGGATGGGGGGAAGCAGGGAAGGGGATGGGGGGAAGCAGGGAAGAGGATGGGGGAAAGCAGGGAAGGGGATGGGGGGAAGCAGGGAAGGGGATGGGGGGAAGCAGGGAAGAGGATGGGGGAAAGCAGGGAAGGAGATGGGGGGAAGCAGGGAAGGGGATGGGGGGAAGCAGGGAAGGGGATGGGGGGAAGCAGAGAAGGGGATGGGGGGAAGCAGGGAAGGGTATGGGGGGAAGCAGGGAAGGGGATGGGGGGAAGCAGGGAAGGGGATGGGGTGAAGCAGGGAAGGGGATGGGGGGAAGCAGGGAAGGGGATCGGGGGAAGCAGGAAAGGGGATGGGGGGAAGCAGGGAAGGGGATGGGGGAAAGAAGAGAAGGGGATGGGGGGAAGCAGAGAAGGGGATGGGGGAAAGCAGAGAAGTGGATGGGGGGAAGCAGTGAAGGGGATGGGGGGAAGCAGGGAAGGGGATGGGGGGTAGCAGGGAAGGGGATGGGGGAAAGCAGAGAAGGGGATGGGGGGAAGCAGAGAAGAGGATGGGGGGAAGCAGGGAAGGGGATGGGGGAAAGCAGAGAAGGGGATGGTGGGAAGCAGGGAAGGGGATGGGGGGAAGCACGGAAGGGGATGGGAGGAAGCAGAAAAGGGGAGGGGGGAAGCAGGGAAGGCGATGGGGGGAAGCAGAGAAGGGGATGGGGGAAAGCAGAGAAGGGGTTGGGGGAAGCAGAGAAGGGGATGGGGGAAAGCAGGGAAGGGGATGGGGGGAAGCAGGGAAGGGGATGGGGGGAAGCAGAGAAGGGGATGGGGGGAAGCAGGGAAGGGGATGGGGGGAAGCAGGGAAGGGGATGGGGGTAAGCAGGGAAGGGGATGGGGGGAGGCAGGGAAGGGGATGGGGGAAAGCAGGGAAGGGGATGGGGGAAAGCAGAGAAGGGGATGGTAGGAAGCAGGGAAGGGGTTGGGGGAAAGCAGAGAAGGGGAGTGGGGGAAGCAGGGAAGGTGAGGGGGGAAAGCACGGAAGGGGATGTGTGGAATCAGGGAAGGGGATGGGAGGAAGCAGGGAAGGGGATGGGGGAAAGCAGGGAAGGGGATGGGAGGAAGCAGAGATTGGGATGGGGGGAAGCAGAGAAGGGGATGGGGGGAAGTAGGGAAGGGGATGGGAGGAAGCAGGGCCTCCTCATGGGACTCTGCTGCTTCCTGTGCCGTTTTTGCCTCTGTTCATCTGTGGTCCTTGCTTCCCACTCCTGCTCCTGGGTCTCACCACTCCTTTGTTTACCGTGCTGTCTGTGCCTCGTCAGCGTCCTCCGCCCCTCTACTCACCAACCCATCATCCTACGTATGATCTGTTTGGCTCCCGCCTGCTCTGGACTGTGCTTGGTTTACCAGGATCCAGTATTAGAAATGCAGGAAACAAACAAAGAAGCAGCGAGCTCAACCCCTAGGGCAATCCTATGTACAAGAAGATGCTTGCCTAGCCGGAGCTCTTGCTGCTGAGCAAGAGACACACAAACAAACATACACCCGTCACTGTAGAGAGACTCGGGAGCACCGGAGGCTATGTACAAGTCGGCGGCGGTCTGTGCTTTCATGAGCAATTGCAAAGGTCTTGGGCCCAGCTGTCCTGGCCACGGCATGCTCGTTTGCTTCACTAGCCAGCTGGCGGGTTGCTGCACTTGTCCACGTTTGTAGCTCCTCGCTGCGACCCTGAACACACCGGCAGAACAAGGAAAGGAAACATTCACACACCAAGCATACTCATACTCATCCGACATGCCACGCATATGTACAGTACACAACATCACACCGCATACCACACCTCAGTCACAGCCCACCCTGCCCGCATCCTCGTTTGCACCCTCCGACTCGCTTTCCGTGGTTCACTCAGGTTTCGCTGTACACTGCTTCCCGCCTTATCCCCTTACAACTCCTCTGCGGTCTCAGCATTACACTGTCCTCCCAGACGATGAAAGATGGGCTGTGTAATTCTCCCACCTATGCGTTTTTAACCCACCGACGTCTTTTCATCCCACCCATGCCTTTCCATCCCACCCATGAGCTTTCATCCCACCCATGCCTTTCCATCCCACCCATGAGCTTGTCAAACTATATATATATATGAAAATTTTCGAAAGTGTGTAACACTTTCTAAAAATGCGTATTTTGAAAGCGCAGCTGACTGTCACGAAGCAAAGCAATGGCGAATTACAATTCGCCGAGTACATAACGAGGGTTGGAGGCCATTCGGCCTCCACCCACGACTTCATTTCGGAACTTTGCAGTTCCACTCATTCTCGTCCAACCACCTCGAAAGTTTCCTCTGTCACTAGAACTACTTACTACGACTCACCTACAAGCGATCGATTTTCATGAAGGGCAACAATATCACGCGTGCGACTGTACTTAGCGGGCGCTCAACTGAGAGCGAAGTGCGCCGGACGAAACGCCAACAGGCGCGCCAAAGACGAAATCGCCAGTGGCACGCACTAGTGACGAAATTGCCACTGGCGCCAGTGGCTCGCGCTAGGGACGAAATCGCCACTGGCGCCAGTGGCAGGCGATTGGGACGAAATCGCCACTGGCGCAAGTGGCGCGCGCCAGGGACGAAATCGCCACACGCGCGCATGTGGCGAAATTGCCACGTGCGCCAGTGGCGAAATCGCCACTAGCGCGCCATGGACGAAATGGCCGCTGGCGCGGCAGTGACGAAATTGCCACTGCAGCGCCTTAGTCGTTTGACTGGGCGTCATTTGTTGCCTAAGTGCTGCAAGTCATTTTCTTTCAGTTTTATTTTCGTTATGTCCTCTTCGTTTATTTTCTATTAATCTTTTAGCTCCTCTTATCCCTTGGTGGCAGAAAATCAGGCCCAACACTACAGTGGTGGAAAGACTTTTATAAAAGGCTCTACTAGTCGCGCGGGGAAATTACATGGACTACAGGATCAAACTGCACGCGCACCCAAGGACGTCTCCCAATAAAAAGAGCGGACAGAGGGTCTCCCCGTGTGGCCTGAGAGCCGTCCCCCAGGGGGGGAAGGGGACCGAGGGTCCCCGTGTGGCCTGAGAGCCGTCCCCCAGGGGGGGATGGGGACCGAGGGTCCCCGTGTGGCCTGAGAGCCATCCCCCAGGGGGGGAAGGGGACCGAGGGTCCCCGTGTGGCCTGAGAGCCGTCCCCCAGGGGGGGAAGGGGACCGAGGGTCCCCGTGTGGCCTGAGAGCCGTCCCCCAGGGGGGAAGGGGACCGAGGGTCCCCGTGTGGCCTGAGAGCCGTCCCCCAGGGGGGGAAGGGGACCGAGGGTCCCCGTGTGGCCTGAGAGCCGTCCCCTAGGGGGGGAAGGGGACCGAGGGTCCCCGTGTGGCCTGAGAGCCGTCCCCCAGGGGGGGAAGGGGACCGAGGGTCCCCGTGTGGCCTGAGAGCCGTCCCCTAGGGGGGGAAGGGGACCGAGGGTCCCCGTGTGGCCTGAGAGCCGTCCCCCAGGGGGGGAAGGGGACCGAGGGTCCCCGTGTGGCCTGAGAGCCGTCCCCCAAGGGGGGAAGGGGACCGAGGGTCCCCGTGTGGCCTGAGAGCCGTCCCCCAGGGGGGGAAGGGGACCGAGGGTCCCCGTGTGGCCTGAGAGCCGTCCCCTAGGGGGGGAAGGGGACCGAGGGTCCCCGTGTGGCCTGAGAGCCGTCCCTCAGGGGGGGGAAGGGGACCGAGGGTCCCCGTGTGGCCTGAGAGCCGTCCCCCAGGGGGGGAAGGGGACCGAGGGTCCCCGTGTGGCCTGAGAGCCGTCCCCCAGGGGGGGAAGGGGACCGAGGGTCCCCGTGTGGCCTGAGAGCCGCCCCCCAGGGGGGGAAGGGGACCGAGGGTCCCCGTGTGGCCTGAGAGCCGTCCCCCAGGGGGGGAAGGGGACCGAGGGTCCCCATGTTGGGCTTGCCGTAAGATGGGCTGAATTTCGAACAATGTGTGTGCTAGTATGGATCATCCTTGGCTATTGATGTAACCGTATATGATAAGAGTTCAAAAAAAAAAAAAAAAAAAAAAAGGGGCTCAAACATTTTTTGACAAACAAAGGATGGTTGGTGCCCCATCAATTTCCAGGGAAGCAATTGTTTGGAGTGACCTGGTTACAAATGGTTGGTAGAGTGCAACTCAAGATGGATTTTGAATCTGACTTGACTACGGTTGTTCACACACACTCCTACATCGCATTCAATGTTCTCTCCAAATAAGGGCAATGAGAAAGGGATTGGTTTCCATCATGCTCATCCCACTCTCTTAGATCGCACCCGAGATGGAAATAAAAGCACGGGAGTTGCGACTAGCATGCTACCACAAGTTGCGTCTCGTTAAGAACTTGAATGGGATTTAGGTGTTGGGAGTTAAAGATGGAATTCGTGTGTGAAAAAAAAAAAAAAAGAGTACCTATTTAACCAAAATGACGGACACACCCTCCCGCTACTACCAACTCAGCCCATACATCCACGTTGTAGATTGAGAAGATTTGAACAAGAATGGATGAACTATGAATGAAGTGAGTACATATAGGAAACCCTAATTGTGTTGTACCCCCTATGGGATACCCCACTATAGCCTACACAACAGCATAAGATATATATATGTTCTGACACACCCCCATAGGCAAAGTGGGGGAGAACAAGGGGTCACAAGACCAGTCACGCAAAACACAACAAGCTCAGGGTGGATCACAAAGTCACCACACAGTCCGAGCACAACGACAAGGCCACAAGGCCAGTTCACATGCAGGAGTGCACATATATATATAGAGCTAGACAAGCAAGAGCAGGTATATATATGTGACAGTACAAGCAAGGTCAAGAGGAGAGCAAGTGAGGCAAGACAGGTACAAGACCCAGCTGAGTGCAGAAGCGCTGATGGTCACAAGGCGCAAGTGCCTTGGTGAACACATCAGCAGTGTTGGCCTCAGAGGCCACGTACGCAAGTCGCAACTGACCACGCTGCTGCAGCTCACGAGCAAGAAAGTAACGGAGAGCAATGTGCTTCGTTCTGTGCTCCAAGCGCTGCTCTCGACACAAGGCCAGCATGGCCTTGTTATCTACGTACAGCACTGGAGGAGAACGAGGCGGCTCTCCAAGGTCAGTCAGAAGGTAGGTGAGCCAGCGAAGCTCCTGTGCAGCCATGGCCCCGGCGTAGATCTCAGCCTCACAACTGGAGCCGAGAACAGAGGACGAGCGAGTAGCCCGCCACGAGACAGAGCCGGAACCAAGACTGAAGGTGTAACCCTGCGACGACCGCTGCGTAGCCTGGTCGTCAGCCCAAGAAGCGTCCGCGTGCCCAGTGAGGACCACTGGACTCCGCCCTCCAAGCACTAGCCCCATGCCCGACGTACTGCACAAGTAGCGCAACACCCTCTTCGCTGCAGCCATGTGCTCTGGTCGGTGTCTCCCAGGAGCAACATAGCGTGCAAGAATGCTAAGAGGGTATGCAAGGTCAGGTCGTGTGCAGGTCATCAGGTACATGAGGCAGCCAACAAGCTCTGGGTACGGGCCACTCGACTCTACGGACTCATCCGAAGGCAGAGCTGAGAGCGAGTGGCGAGTAGACAGAGGAGTGGCCTGAGGCGAGGAGTACGTGAAGCCGAAGCGCTGAAGGACCTGCTGCACCATGTGTGACTGAGTCAAGGTAATGGTGCGGCGTGCTCTGTCCCGAGTGATCTGCAAGCCAAGGTAGCTGCGCAGTTCACCCAGGTCTGTGCACGTGTGTCTCTTCTGCAGCTCGGACTTCACGTAGGCTAGTCCAGCAGTGTCAGCTGTGGCAAAGACCAAGTCGTCGACGTACACGAGGATGTAGAACGGCGGCAAAGAAGTGTCGGTGCGCAGAAACAACGACGGGTCAGCCGTAGAGGGAGCAAACCCAAGAGCCGCAAGCGTAGTCCTCAGTGTGTCGTGCCACTCACGCGGTGCCTGGCGGAGACCGTAGACTGGCCGTCGGAGGCTCCACTGGGTGCCAGTAGGGAAAGTCCCAGTGAAGCCAGGTGGACGGCGCAGCCAGATCTCCTCGTGCAGGCTACCCTGCAAGAAAGCAGTGCTGAAGTCAAGAGAGTGGAGCTCGTAGTCGCGCTGAGCGGCTATGTGCAGCAGCACCCGAAGAGTGGTCATCTTCGGGGTGGGAGAGAAGGTCTGAAAGTAGTCAACTCCCTGCCGCTGACTGAAGCCACGAGCGACGTACCGCGCCTTGAAGACAGGTGGAGAGCCCGA